TTATGCTCATATAATTTTCATAGTGATGATGTACACCAGGCTGTAGTGGATGAACATGGTGTATTTCGTCTGTGATGCCACATGGACCTTAGATCTTTCTAATACATTTTTTTCCTTTTTTTAAAATGTGGTACATTGTGAAGAAGCTGCTCCCAAAACATATTGCTAGACTCCATCTCTTATGGCAGTACTTCAAAACTATGTGCTGCAAGAGAATTCTTCATATAGTGTGAGAAATAAATTTAGTTATTAAAGCAAGATCCTTAAAAGGCAAAGGGGAGTTTGGGCAAGGGGACTAGTGGAAGAATGGGGTAGATGACACAGTGCCTGCTTCCTCTACTGCTGTAGCCTATCCCTTGGCATATTTACACAGGAGTAAGTCCTGTTGAATTTGCAGGAGTTACATTAAGAAGAGAAGCTTACCTGTTACTAGTACTGTTGGTAGGTAGAAAGCTGATAAAGAAATCCATAACTTTTACTCTCGGTTCTAGCCAAATTGAGCCTTCTTTTAACAGTAGTGGGAAAGTGGGGTTACAAAGGGTAAAGAATCTAGGCCCCTTTTGCCCCCTTCAATCATTTAAATATTGTTTTCTGCCTATTAGTGCTGAATGAACTGGTCTGGCAGAAAGTGCAGCTCATCTACAGCCACTAAAAGTGTTCCACAGCATTAGCTTTGGGTAACCTGTTGGTTCTTTTTTAGCCCACATGGGGAAAGTTTCATTACTGCTCTTCAAAACTTGTGATAAACTTGGGAATCCATGCAGTTAGTTTTGTGTATGCAACTTGGGATCCTGTGTGGTGTAGTGGTTTGAGTGTTGGACTATGACTGTGGATATAAGAGGCTGATTCCCTGCTTGGCCTTGGGTAACTCACACACTTTCAGCCTCAGAAATTCCCATGATAAATATCCCTTAGGGTCAGCATAAGCTGGAAACATCTTCAAGACATGCAACAACAAATGCAACTTTGAAATGGTTTTCTTAAATTGCAACTGGATGGCATGGCAAATCACTTTGGAGCATCATTGGACAGTTGGACTGTGGAGATGTGGGCTCACATGCTCAGTTTTGAAACCTGTTATTTTGAATTTGGGCTCATCTCAGGCCCCAGTCTAATATATTTTCATAGGTTTGCTGTGACAAACTACTACCATTAATACCTCCACATGCTATGGGTCAAGGTCGACACTAAGGCAGTTAACAACAACAACCTATTATTACCAACACCAGTACTACTGGGATAGTTATTGGCTTTTTCTTATACTTATGAGCCATTAAGTGTAATTATTCAGCTGCCCTGAATCCCATTTTGGAAGAAAAGTGGGATATAAATCCCATGAATAAATATGTTTTCACATACATGTTATCACATTTACCTTCCCAAAAACATGGTCTACAAGCTTTCTTCTAAAGAAATGATAGGGAATCTAAAGAGCTCAGGATTCTAGCAACAGGTGCACAGAACTGCAGCTGTGTACAGCACCATGCAATGTTTCAGATACCGTAACTCTAAGCAGTTGTTTTTGGTTCAGCAGAATTCAGTTGTTACAATAGTCTCTGTATAAGCTTATATGGAGTGGGGAGACTGATTTCTACATTACCTTGTGTTCAAGGAGCTTTTGTTTCACATGTCAGCTAGGTGAACTTTCCTTCCTGCTCTGGAGCAGGGATATTTCCAAAAAACTTTTAATTTAATTTTATTATTACAGCCATTCGGCCAGTATAAAAAACACAAGTAAAAAAACACAATAAAACATCTAAATGATATACAGTAACTTCTTGGCAAAACATACTGATAACCATTAACATGATTCAATTTGAAAGGACAGAGATAAGACAGCATTTCTTAAACATAATAT